GACATGTTGTGGGGTTGTTAACCAATGTCATAAAACAATATGTGTACTACTGTTTCATGAGAAACTATTTGTTCTGTAAGCCTTCACCTGAAGTACGATTAAAAAAAAAAAATATATGCTCTCAAGTGGGACAAATTCCTAGAGAGATGCTGGAGATTGGGTTGTACATTAAAAAACAGAACTACAGGTCTGGATTTCCCCAAATTAACAATGCTCAGGGCTGATGTCACGATTCCTGCTGGACTGAGAATATGCTCTACTTTACAAACTCTATTATTAAGCACCCAAAGGATGCTCTACAACTTCTAATCAAGACAGCTTTTGTTTTTTCTCTTGGCAAAAGGGAGATGTAATTCATGAGGGTTGTTAGTTATAATGGGGAGAAAAATATTTGAGAAAACAAATATTTCAAAGAAGTTTCCCACGTTTTCATGAAACCTGTGGATATCACTCGTTGCTCAATTGCATATTCTGCTTTAGTCATATCTATTTGTGTTAAATATACCTATACAAAGAAGTAGTTGTGTGGATAATCTAAAACTAACAATTGCAAATAACTTTTTAGGTGGCAAAGAGAAGTGAGCCTGGCAGTAAATATCAGTATAATACACTTTAAAAAAAATCTAGAAATTACCATATTCTGTTTTTGCTTTTAATTAGGAAAATGTAAGAAAACACTACTTATTTTTTATACATTGTAAAAAGTAAACATGAGATAACGACAAAAAATGAGCACTTGAGTTCTCGTGAGTACGTTTTTATAACAAAAATGAGTTATTCAGAATGATTAAAAAGGATGTGGGATGAGGTACAAGATGAGGCATGATTTTAACTTTTAGCTATCCTACTGGGTATTTTTCTAGTTTATTTAAAACACACTTTTCAGGAAGTATCTTTCTCAAAATAAGCATATTGATTTGTAGCCAAACATTGTTCTTCATTTAACCATGACATATGATTTTGCTTAAACTTTGAAATATTCTATCTTAACTAAGACAAACTACTAGAAATAAAAAATAATCTTTATAGCATATAAATACACCATACTGTTAATCAAATTATTTTCAAAAAAATAAAATTTAACCAACATTTTTAAAATGTAATTTAACATTAATAACGTTAATAAACATTTAACAATAATACACAATGTTATCATTTTAAAATTAATGAATATTATGCTGTTGTTGTTCTGTGCCATTTAGTTGATTCCAACTCATAGTGACCCTACGGGACATAGTAGAACTGCCCCATAAGGTTTCCTAGGCTGTAGTCTTCACGGAAGCAGATACCAGGTCTTTTCTCACACAGAGCAGGCTGATGGATTCAAACTATCAACCTTTCGGTCAGCAGCCAAGCACTTAACCATTGTGCGACCAGGTTCCTAATAAATAGTATTAGCAAAACAAGACCAAACTCGTTGCTGTCGAGTCAATTCCCACCGACAGCAACCCTATAGAACAGAATAGAACTGCCTCATAGGGTTTCCAAGGATCGCCTGGTGGATTCAAACTGCCTACTTTTTGGTCAGCAGCCTAGTTCTTAACCACTGCTCAGCCAGGGCTCCAATAAATAGTATACTATGAACTAACTAATCAATTTAAAAATAAAGATTGGTTTTACTGTATGTATTAGCCAAACAGTACAAAGTTTTCTGTACTTAGTAGTGTGTTCATATTTAACTGAATATCTGTAAACAAATTTTAATTGCTTATTCATGGCCTGTGAGCAAAGATATATATATTTCCAAATTTATTTTAAAAAATGCAGTTTTAAGGTTTATTTTCCTTTGTAAATTTTATTAAAACTGTTTCAAAAATAAAATCATGAGGAAGAACACATGTGCACACACACAAAATTCATTAAGATGCAAATTCAGTTATGTCTACGCATACAAATAAGAGGATCAAATATTACATGGGCAGGAAGCCACCAACATTTAGTTGAGTACTTTTACATAACTGGATTTACATAAAAGGATTTACACTGGACACACCATGCATGTGTCTGTGCACATCAGTTTACTCAAAGCTATGAAAGAAAAGTGCTGGACAAGTAGCCTTGCACCAGGGTTAACTCCCTTGATGGGCAAAAAAAAAAAAGAAACTAGAATTAATTTTGAGGATATCAAGATAGTTTACAGAGAAAAAAAGAGTACTATCTATAGCAGATGTATCCTTGCTTCTACATCTCTTGCAATGTTTCTTCCCCCTCTCAAATGTTTGAAGGTTATGGTGAAAACAGAACAAAAGTATCAATAACACACAAAACAAAGGTACAAAAAAACCTTGCTGATATGTTACTTTACGAGAGAGAATGAAAGCTAGATATTCTGGTAGTTTCTGAAGCACCTACTGAGTTAGAGCCAAAATCAGGTATTTCTTGGCTCTTGCAGAATCTTTATTCAGAGTTCCTTTACAAATAACAGGCACCCCCTGCAAAACACTGATAAATCATGAACTGTTTCCACTATTATTACACTTCTCTTTACTCATTTCTTAGTCTCTCTGCTCTCTCAAATTTCTTTAGGATATATCTCCAACACAAGAAATATAATGTATCAAGCACTGTTGTTATGGTTCTCTGAGTTTCCTTTTTTTTTTTTTTTACAACATTACTGTCAACAGCACCCTCATCTTCCCAATCACATAGGCTTGCACTTCGGCTTTAATTCCTATTCTTATATCCAATCTATCAAAAATTCCTTTTTTTTTGTTTGTTTTTTTCCATTCCTACCACAATCTCTCTCAGAATCATCTTTGATCCATGGTACCTGAATATTTTATACCTTGACTATTACAAAATCAAACTAAACCCACTGCCGTCAAGTCGATTCTGACTCATAGCAACCCCATAGGGTTTCCAATGCTGTACATTTCTACGGAAGCAGGCTGCCACATCTTTCTCCCATGGAGCCGCTGGTGGTTTCAAACTGCTGACCTTTTGGTTAGCAGTCAATCGCTTCAACTACTGTGCCACAAGGGCTCCTCAGAACCTCCTATTTCCTCTTTCTTCAGCTTCTCTAAAAGCCAGTTAGTTTTATATAGTAAGAAATAATTTGAGCATGTTAGTCCCTTCTGGAAGCCCAGAAAAGCAAATTTGATAATCCATGAAAAGCACCTTAACCTACTGAGAAAGTACTCTTACCATTGCTGTAACATTCAATTCTTTATAAATGAAATCCAAACTCTTAACCACATGATTAATGTCTTTTTATAAATGGATGCATTCATTGAATCTTATCATTCACATTTCTGTTCTAGCTAAGCAAAACCTAGTAGTCAATGTCCACTGTTCAAGACTTGTTCCATCCCACTTCAGTGCCTTTACATATGCTATTTCTTCTCTGGATATGCCTCTGCTCCTTTTTATTACCTAAAATTCTTCTATCAGACTTAGATTCAAAATGCTTGCCTCTACATGAAACCTTATCTGATTCAACCCTTCTGACTTGGTTCATTCTTTAATCAGTACCTTTATCACTAATTAGAAATATGGCTTATAGTATAGTATTTAAAATGTGCATATGCTTCATGTTTCTAAAAGTCTTATTTTTTCTAGCTGAAATACTAAATCCCAACTTGATTGGGCTAGTACCTGATCATCCCTCAGGTCTCACGTTTTCCTCCCTTTGGGAAGCCTTCCCTGACCCCCCCCAACACTAACATACATCCTCCTTCCTGTGAACTCCCACTACACGCTACTTCCCCATCATAGAACTTACCTTGTTTTAGTGTAACTGAACTATAATTCCCACGGGTGGTAATTCCTGTGATAGAGGGTTCTCATCTATAATTTTAGCTCTTGTAACCCCAGCTCCTACAAAGTGCTTGACTGACAATAAATGATCGATAAACATTATAATAATTGAATAACAGAATATAATCAGCTGGTAAAAAGAATGAATAAAACTCTATGTATTGGTTTAGAAAATGCTTCTAAGACATTAAAAAAAGCAAGGTGGAGAATTGTGTTTATAGTATACTACCATTTATGTAAAAAAGGGCAAAATATTCATATAATTTGCATATGCATGATACATCTCTGAAAGAACATAAAACAGTAAAACTGATTACCTATGGGGGATGGGTGAGAACTGGGTGGATGAAGCTAGGGGTGAGAGAGGGAGCCTTTTCACTGGATACATTTTTATACTTTTAAAATCATGCAAATTATTTCCTATCTATAGAATTAAAAAAATAAATTTAATTTTTAAAAGGTGAATGAATGAATAATGCCCCTAAGAAACCACAAATAGGGTTCTGTACAGAGCAACTGTGTAACATGTGGCATTCCCTTCTTCATCTCATAAGAAAGCAAAATCAAAGTCAGTAAAATCTGTTTCTTAAGTGTTATAGCTAAGCCTAACACCTCAAAGAACCAGAACGACTAGGAATTTTGTTGATAAAATATTTGCTTTGTTGTTGTTAGCTGCCATTGAGTTGGCTGCACAATGAGATCAGAATGTTATGATCCATAGGGTTTTCATGGCTAATTTTCAGAAACAGACCACCACACCTTTCTTCCTGGTCTGTTTTAGTCTGGAGGCTCCGTTGAAACCTGCTCAGTATCATAACAACATGCAAGCCTCCAATGACAGATGACTGGTGGTTGCACTTAAGGTGCACAGGCCAGGAAAAAAACTAGGGTCTCCTGCACGGAAGACGACAATTCTACCACTGAATAACCACTGTCCCCTGTTTGCTTTGTTTAGTAATCTTAAAATGCAAACTCAGTAAGTCAAGTGGCATTTTAAGTTGATTTTTGAATATTCTTTCAAAGACCATAATGAGTAAATATGTACTGCTTATTATTTACAAATTTACATACTGACTTTAAAAGATGTGATAGCCAGCCTCCAAAATGGCCTCCAATGATCCTCGCCTCCTGGTATTCACACTTGAGTATAGTCCCCTCCCACATAGAATTGTGGCTTGCCTGCGTGAACAATAAATAGAATGCGGCAGAAGTGAAGGTATGTGACTTCTCAGGCTAGGTCATAAAAGACATTACAGTTTCTACTGCGATCTCTCCTGGATCACTTATTCTGGGGCAAACTAGTCCCCATGTCATAAGGACACTTAAGGAGCCCACGTGGGGAGGAACTGAGGCCTCCCTTCAACAGCCAGAATCGATTTGTCAGTCACGTAAGTGAGCCATTTTATAAGTGGATCTGTCAGCCGCAACCAAACCTTCAGATGACTGCAGCCCAAGCTGACATCTAACTGCAACCTCACAAGAAACGAAAACCAGAACCCTACAGCCAAACTGCTCTCCAATTCCTTACTGACAGAAACCGTGAGAGATGTTTACTGTTGTGTATTAAGCCACTACATTTTCAGATAATTTGTGATGTGGCAACAGGTAAGTAAAGAGTTTATTTATTCTCGAATAATATTTACCTTCTTTAAACTCCAATCTCTATAATTTAAAAGATATAATTAAATAGTAGTTACCAAATTACAAAAAACTAATATGCAGCCTCAAGTTATAGAATCAGATAGGTTTGGAGCACTGTGCTTAGAAGACAGCCTTACAATAAAATAACAGATGCCATCTGAAATCATCTTGCTGGAATCTGTCATTAAAACTCAAGGTTGAACTCCTAACTACAGTAAATTGGTGGTAATACTGTATACAATACAGAAGTAATTTCAGTATTCATTTTTCTTCCAAAATGACAGATATTAACATTTAAAGTGAGCATTATGTTCTTTTTTTCCCTCAACATCTTCCTCTGAAGGAACTTTTACAATTGAGACACACTGTAAGGCATGTTTAACTGTGTGTGGAAATTAGCCCACTGTGCCAGTGCATCATGCCAAAGACAAGCAAAAAGCATAATCAGTGGTCTGAGGTGGTATTTGTGGGTAACTAATATAAAAAGGTTCCAGTTATCTGAAAAATTTGATTGATCAAAATAACACATATCCTAAGCGTTTCAGGTAGCTGAGATTTCTTACTACTTTATCATGATATAATGGCACAATCAAGTTCAACTGAAAAATATAGGGCTACTTACCTGTATAACTCAAAGAACTAAGACTGGTGTGCTTTTAAAGTTTCACTGGTTACAGTCAGTTGTCACGTCTAAATGATGACAATTTATCTGTACTCTTGCTATATTGCTGCTTTATTTTATAGTAAAGACATGGAAACAAACTCACTTGTTTAGGTGAAAGTTCTCCTATAAAATAAATATGCATTCAAAATTTCTATTTTCTTAGTTACAACGTGAGGTCGCATTCTAGAACCTTAGATAAATAGAAACATAAGCTCTGGTTGAGTACCAAATTTTTGTATAGATAGTACTGATAAATCTGTTATTACCACTTAGGTAAAATTTTTTTTTTTTTTTGGAAAGCAGTAACACTAAACTAAATGTTTGTTTACATGAGGTCTTTGTTCACAAACACAAAATAACAGCAATCTAAACAGTAAGCCCATAACAGATATAGGCCTGCAATAACCACAGCAGCTTGAAACATAAGATATATTTTCTAGAACAAGAGTAGGGAATTTATTTTCCTGTTTGTTCATATGAAACTCCTTCCATAAGAGACTTTGTCATTACCTCAGAAGAAAAAGGACTGGAAATGTCTCCTGCAGCATAGAAATATGAAAAGATAGCTATATAAAACTTAAAAAAGAAGAGAGGGAAAAGTAAAGGAGATATCAAATTCTTTAAGGTTTAAATGAGATAAAGTTCATATTAACAATTCATCATTTCCTAGATCAACGGTTATCACGTTATATTATCATAAGTCCCCCACTGGTTTTTAAATTCAGATTTCTTTTGATTCAAAAGTTTATCTTAAAGCTAATGTGCTCCAATAACAATAAGGTACTAGTGTTTTACTTGTACAAGTTACATTAAGAATATTTTTGACTGGCTATCATTACCAAGCATTTTGATCAAAGATTATACAGAAAAATTTTGATCAAAAGGGGGAAAATGCAGAACAGAATTTCAAATTATCACGGACTCCAGACTTTCTGGAGCCATGGCAGCTGGATTAACCCTTGAAACTACTGCCCTGAGATAATCTTTAAGCCTTAAACCAAAAATATCCCCTGAAGTCTTCTTAAAACCAAACAATAGTTCAGCTTAAGTAGTAAAGAATGTCTGCCTTGAGGATTGTGCTCTTTCAAGATCTATCTACACAGGATCAAATTGACAATAGCAACTCAAAAGACTAGACAGGAAACTTAGGGGACAGTGAGTTTATGTTAAAGTGGGAAGAGTAACTCAGAAAAGGAGGGTGAAAATGGTTGCATAACTTGAAGAATGTAATCAATGCTACTGAATTGTACATGTAGAAACTGTTGAATTGGTGTATGTTTTGCTGTGTATATTCTCAACAACAAAATAAATAAAATTAAAAAAAGAATATTTATGAAAAAATGAAGTCATTTATCTGATTAAATAATAATCATTAATTTTTAGTCTTCATACTGTAAATGTAAATACTTCTTAAGTTAACTCATATTGTAAAAAGCACATATTACAAAAGTGCATATTGTACTTTTTAACTGTAGTATATTTTAAAATCTACAACAGAAACTTTATTTCATAATACTTACATAGACAAAATTCTAAGGAATTTTCAAGCCTTGATTCATCTAGTATTTCCCCAAATTTGGGCCACTAACTCAATATGAGATGATTTCATGGAACAAGGACAGGACTAAGCAATAATGAATTACTTGAGGACACAATTTCCTCTTCAATCTCTTTTCGTCCCTCCGGCAGCATCAAGAATAATGTCTCAGTTTGGTGCCAGAACGTTATAATACCTCTGCAATTCTCGATAATATTCCTTTTAAACAATGAGTAGCAAGTCTAGGCTAAGAGCCTTCAATAGGCAATAGTTTCTAGCTAGAATTTAATAACACTATTTTGTTTTCAAGTCCCTGGGTGTGCAAGTAGTTAAGCACTTGATTACCAACCAAAAGGTTCAGGGTTCAAATCAATTCAGAAGTGCCACAGAAGAAAGGCTTGGAGATCTGGAGATCTGGAGATCTGCTTCTAAAAGGTCACAGCCTTAAAACCTCTATGAAGTACAGTTCTACCCTACAACAAATGGGGTCTCCATGAGTCAGAATCAACTTGATTGCAACTGGTTTTGTTTTCATTATTTTTATTTTTATGCCCACTTTCTATTTATGGAAAGTGATTCCTGCTTTTTATTTATGGTAGTTATTTCAAGTTTCCTTTAAAGATAATTTTAAGAAAGTAACCACATTGATTCAAAGATATATTAAGAAAATAAGTATACAGGAATATGTCCACATGCTGACATTCTGATGTTGCTGTAAGAATGACTAAACCATTTGGTCAACAAATAAATGTAAGTGCCTATTATGTCCGTGTCATTGGTTTAGCCATTGTTAAGGACAGAGAAAGATGTTCAAAAAAATGTACACAGGAAGCTTATTAGAGGAGGAAATTAATTCAAAATGAGGTATTCACTTTGAATTCATGATAGGATTCACAGACAAGTTAGCATCTGAGCTAAGACTTGAAAGATAGGTATGATTTAGATACTTAGAGATAGGGAAAGCCTTCTAAGAGAGCAAAAGCATAACAATACAGACCTGAGTGGAGGACATGTTCCAAATCTTGATTGTGATGGTGGTTACACAGGTGTGTATGTATTTGTTAAAACTCAATGAAATGTACGCTTAAAATGGGTATACATTATTGTACGTAAATCTTACCTTAATAAAGTTGATAAAATTATCTCTGCCCTATGCAATGAAAGTATGAGTTAAAGATCATTGAAGTTGCAGGTGTGGATAGCTTGGGGAGAGGGACTGTTATGAGTTGAATTGTGTCCCCTAAAAAGATACGTAGAAGTCCTAGTCCATCCACCCACCCCTCAATGAATCTGTGAATGTGACTTTATTTGGAAATAGGGTCTTTGCAGATGTAAATTAACATGTGCTCATATTTCCTAGTCCAACATGACTACTATCCTTAAAAAAAAAAAAAAAAAAAGAGGAGACACACAGGGAAGAATGACCACGTGGAGATAGATAGAGGCAAAGGTTGGACTTATGCTGCCACAAACAAAGGAATGCCTAGGGCCACCAGAAGCTGGAAGAAGCAAGGAAGAATCTCTCCTTAGAGCCTTCAGGGAAAGCATCGCTCCGCTGACAACCTGAGTTAGACTTTTAGCCTGCAGAACTGCGAGAAAATAAATTTCTGTTGTTACAAGTCACCCAGTTTGTGGTAAATTGTTATGGAAGCCCTAGGAAACTAATACAGGTGGTGAACATAAGAAAAAACGAATTACAATTTAAAGACAAGTGGATCGATGTATTTATTTTCATATAATAAATTCTCAATACAAACTGTTTGCTATTACACAAAAATATTAGCTCTATCCTTCTATTTAGGTCTATCCTTCTATTTAAGAGTTTTATTTCAGAGAAAGAATTTATCAAAGGTTTACCTATTGTCATGGATTTGTGTCCCCCAAAAATGTGTATCGATTTGCCTATGCCATGATTCTCACTATTGTGTGATTGCCCACCATTTTGTTATCGGATGTGATTTTCCTAGTGTTGTAAATCCTATCTCTATGATGTAAATGAGATGGGATTAGTGGCAGTTATGTTAATGAGGCAGGACTCAATCTACAAGATTAGATTGTGTTTTAAGCCAATCTCTTTTGAGATATAAAAGAAAGAAGCGAGCAGAGAGACAGGTGGACCTCCTATCACCAAGAAAGCACTGCTGGGAACAGAGCGCATCCTCTGGACCTGGAGGTTCCTATGCAGAGAAGCTTCTAGACCAGCGGAAGACTGATGACAAGGACCTTCCTCAGAGCCGACAGAGAGAGAAAGCCTTCCCCTGGAGCTGATGCTCTGAATTTGGACTTCTAGCCTCCTAGACTGTGAGAGAATAAACTTCTCTTTGTTAAAGCCAGCCACTTGTATTTCTGTTATAGCAGCCCTAGATAACTAAGACACCTATTAAAATTCAATATTCTGTTCCCATCCTTTCCTACAACTGGAAACCCTAACAAAGTAACAAAAACAGGCAGAAACATCCACGTTGGTTGCTTTCATAATTTAGCAAAAAAAAAAAAAGTTAAGATTGTATTCAATAGTTAAGATCCTGTTTCTTAGCAATGAGAAATAACTATTTTAGAATTAATGTTTTAACCTTTAACTGGCTTTCATGATCTATGCTCTTAAAGTTATTTACTATTTAAGCATATTTCAGGTAGTCTCTATCACTTTCACAGTTGTAAGAATTCATTACTGGAAAAGCAAATCATTCATAGCAAAACCAACGCCATCATCATCGAAACTTTACTTGTTGCAACTTTAAAATTCCATTCTGAATAAAATCAGTAACTCGATCATGAAATCAAGTTCAAAACATGAATTAATTATGGCTAAAGAAAAGCATCAGGAGACCAGGGAAGGTAAAAAATAAAAAATCTTTGCCATAAATTAATGCATGAAAGCTCACAAAGACCTATGTGCATCCTTAATATTAATATTTTAACTAAGGATAATATAAGCCTTTTCCTTATACCAGTGAGAGTTGCCACTTGATCTTCATGTTCCAGAATACTTCACACTTAAAACTGAAAGCCCATAATAAATAATAAAGCCCATAAATAAATAACTTAGTACTTAAAGCATAATGCATGAAATTTTAGAGCTGAAAAGGAGACTCAATAATCATGAAGCATAGAAATTTTCAAATTGGTATTCTATGTTAATTATATTCTAGGAGATGTTATGTTATAGCTCTCTCGCCAGGTAACTTTAGGAAATGCTGTGATAATCTTCCCCTGGAGATTTACACTGCATATTAGCATAGTGAAGGTTTGAGAAGTCCTGCAGTTAAAAGCAAATCAAAAGTCATTTAACTTGGTTTAACCCAGTGTATTCCCAAATTATTTGCCATGGAACACTGTTTCGGAGCAATGAACTTACTAACTGCTTTACAAAAGTGTTCAGGAGAAACATCTGTTTGGAAAACCCTGACTTTGTCAAATTCCCTTAAGTAGATAACAAAACTGAGGCCACCTGATTAGTGGCAGAATGAAGGACTTCAACCTGAATCTTATTCCCAGCCCAGAGCTCTTCCTATTACTTCAACTACAAAATAGGATTCTTTTGACCGTGTACAGCGACAACATTTAATTTACATTTAACATTTTGGCTATGGCATCACATTTTCTGGTTTGCGTATTAACTTCAAAAAAAAAACAAACAAACCTGTTGCCGTCGAGTCTGACTCACAGCAACCCTACAGGACAGAGTAGAACTACCCCACAGGGTTTCCAAGCAGTGCCTGGTGGATTCAAACTGTCGACCTTTTGGTTAGCAGCCATAGCTCTTAACCACAACGCCACCAGGGTTTCCATGTATTAACTTAGATGCTTTAACTCTTCCGTCAAGAATTGGGTCCCAAATAATCAGCCCCATCTGTATATTTGCTATTGCTTAGCATTTCTGAGGAATGATTTAGAGTGGTGGCTGAAAAGTAATGACTGAAGTAAAGCATTTGGACTACATGTGGTTTTAATTACCTCATGTTACAATTTCTATTAGCTCAACTAAATCACTGTGTTGCCTATCAGGTGGTGAGTTACCTAGGACAAAATGTTAACATACGCTATCCATAAACAGACCTCGAAAGTAGCCCACATTAATTTTGACACATAAAATTAAAATACAAGATCTCATATCTGCATAGAAGATAAGCAGTCAGCATGAGTAGGAATCGACTCGACGGCAATGGGTTTGGTTTTTTTCTTTTATATAGTTCAAGGCTTATTTGTCAGGCAAATAAGCACTTAAACCCATTGCCGTCGAGTCGATTCCGACTCATAGCCACCCTATATAGGCAGAGGAGAATTGCCTTATAGGGTTTCCAAGAAGCGGCCGGTGGATTCGAACTGCCGACCTCTAGGTTAGCAGCGTTAGCCACTGCGCCACCATATTTTTGTGATCATCAAAAAGAAAAACAAATTGCTTTAACTACACTCTCCAAATCAGATTTTTCCAATCTTTTTATTTCTCAAATTTCACAATACTCTAAAATGGAGTAAGAATCAAAATACAATTAACAAAGCTTTAAAAAAGTAGTTGATTACGTTTACCCCCTCCCCCCTGCCCCCGGAGTAGGCGAGAAGAAAAGAAAAAACCGAACAAGTAACCATTGTTACGTTGCAACTTTAGGGCTTGGAAATCAAAGGTGATAATTGTTAATAACTTCCGTAGGACTAATCTGACTTCCTCTTAATAAACTTCCGTACTCCTTTCTAACCCCCTCCCGTGAACATTTACCATAACTGACATTCTTCTTTCCTCAAAACTAAGAGAATCCAGAGTCAATGAGGCGACACTATACACTGATTCCGCCAACAAAGAGGTTACTCCCCATGTCTTTACCACACAGGTGCGACCTGCACTGCAACCTCGGCCCGAGCCACCGGACGCCCCGGACCCACCCTTGCCCAGGGCCGCCCTCGCGCCTCCGCCCGTCGGTGCCCGCGCAGCTCCCGCATCCCCGAAACCCAGAGGGCGGACAGCCGGCTCCAGGCGGGGCCGGGACCGCGATACCCCGACGCCACAGCAGCCCGACCCGTAGCGCGTCCTCGCGACTCCAGCACAAGCCAGTCCGAGGAGGTCGCCTTGGTTCGGCGGCCGGCCTCGCGACCGCGCTGGGGATGGGGACGCTGTTACCTGCTGTGTGCTCGCCCGCTCCCAGCCGGCGCCGCTCTCCGGGCAACCGCGGCAGCTACAAGCAGGCCGGAGCCGAAGGGCCCGGTGACAGCTCCCAGAATGCACCGCGCCCGCGAACACGCCGACGTCGACGTCCACCGCCTAGCTCTCCGCCCCCAGTCGGCTCCTCGCCTCCCGGCTGTCACCACAGCGCCCTCTACCTGCCATTTCGGGAAGCGGTTTACGGTTAAAAACCGCAGAAAACCAAACCCAAACCCAATGCCGCCCAGTAGATTAGAACTGCCCCACAGGGTTTCCAAGGAGGGACTGGTGGATTCGAACTGCCAACCTTTTGGTTAGCAGCCGGTGTCTCTTAACCACTACGCCAGCAGGGTTCCTAGCAGAAGGGGCGGGGGGGGGGGGGCGGGCAGGAAAAGAGGTTTTTAGTAGCTGTTTTCAACTTGCCAGGGCCAGTCCCGTCTTGATGCAGAGTTTGAAGAGAGGGGAAGAATTGAATACAACTTTTACAGCTGGAGGATTCCTTCTGTATTTTATATGAGCAACTTGAGGCCCGAAGAGGTTAGGAGACTTGTGAAATTAGGAGACAAATAGTTGCAACCATTTTCAACTACAAGTTACTCCAAGGAGGATTGCACCATTTTACCTAGACTATAAAGTCAAAATATGATGCACACTTTTTCAACGAGTGACTACATATAAAATATAAAAACCACTAAAAATAATCAAACACCAGTTATGAGGGGCATGCTATGCTAAGAATGTTAGATATTTTAATATAATGCATCAATATTTTAAGCGCTTAGTAGCCTTGGAGATTATAGGTGGATGATGATATGAGGAGTTGAAATCATTACCCTAGAAATAGATGAATTATTTGAGATGGAATAGTAGTAAACTCAATTCTTTTAACTGAGTTATTACCTCGATCCATGATTTCGAATTACTGTGATAGATACACAAATCTGTGCAGCAACAGATAAATGTTTATCAGCATAAAAAAGAATCACAAATACTAATTTTAGAATAATTGTCTTAAGCTAGTATTTTTGATGAAGTGGGTTTATTTTATTTGGAAATGCTTTAAATTAATATTTTTGGTGTGTGATAATTATGACCTTGAAATTATAAAGCAACATCAATAAGCATGAAATCTTATGTATACAAGCCACAATTGTCTTTGTTTTTAAAAACAGCTTCTTGTTTTTAAAGAAGTCCTACTGTAACACTACTTATATTTTAATATTTAAAGTGAACTTATATTTTAATGTTTCCCAATTAGAAGTATTTAAATTATAGTAGATCCTTTCCTTCACTGTGTCAACATTTCCAAAACTATCTTTTAGTAGTAGTGTAATATTTACACTTCTCTGAGTCAGTTTTTACTTCTGCAAAAGTGAAGAGTGGAGATGTATAGTTGGAATCATCCTCATCTTCCTTTTTTCAAAGGTTGTATGAATGCTTTATTCTGTGATTGAAGATACTGCGCTTCAGCCACACACTCTTCTGAATATCACACCCGTTGTGGTCGAGTCCATTCCGACTCACAGCGACACTATTTAACAAAGTAGAACTGCCCAAAGGGTTTCCGAGAAGCAGCCCGTGGATTTGAACTGCCAACCTTTCGGTTAAGGAGCCTTAGCTCTTTACCACTGCGCCACCAGGACGCCACTATTCTAAATAGGTAACAGAAAACTTTGTTGCATTTTTTTTTTCTTTTTTTGGCAACTGTTTCAATCTTGGAGAGATCATGTCTAAGTTGAGAAGCAATGCCAAGTCAATCCCTGACACCTGTTGCCTGGGACAGAGGGGAGCTACCAATCGACCTTAACCAAAAAACCCAAACCCGTTGCGGTACAGTCGATTCCGACTCATAGCGACTCTACAGGAGAGTAGAACCGCCCCATAGGGTTTCCAAGCAGCGCCTAGTGGATTCGAACTACCGACCTTTTGGTTAGCAGCCGTAGCTCTTAACCACTATGCACCAGGGTTTCCAACCAAAAGACTCCAGTTCATAAAAAAAGGGAACAAAATAAAGTGGATTTAAGGTAGGTAATTCTACTCCTGGGCTTCCTGGGGGTGGTGCCCGCCTGTATCGCCTCCCTCTATGATCTCCCTCTCTTCATGTCCCATCCTTACCTGAGTTAGCCACAGGAGTGTACCCCGATAATAATTTTTGTTGTCATTTTCAGGAACACTGATACTCCAGGCCACGCCCATGAGCAGCAGAATCGTAGGATAAACTAGCTTCCTCCGCCCACTTTTCTCAGCGTTGGGGGCGAAACGCGCACACCCCTCAGGTCCAGAACCCTCGCGGCGGCGCGCTCTCCGCCCGGCAGGCGGCGCTGTGGGCTGAGAGGTCGCTCCAGCCGCACGTTTGGATCCTGGCAGGCTGCTCCGCCGCCGCTGCCGCCACCACTGCTGGTGCTCCGCTGCATGTGCAGCACGTCTGCTTCCGGTGGCCCGGTTCGCCAGAATCTCCCGCTCTGTTCCGCCCGGGGCGGGGGCTCCCGCCATGACGGCGTCGCCGGCCGCGATGCGCGTGTTCCTGGAGGTCAGGAGACGGCTGCAGAGCGCGCTGCTGATCCTGGGGTAAGGCCTGGGGCGGGCTTGTGGACATCCAGGGGCGGTGGCCAAATCGCTTTGCTGCTGTCCGGCGGTCTCCGCCTCCCTTGGAAGGTCGGATTTTGAATTTCTTTAGAGTTGCTGAGAGCCTCTCGATAATGAAAGTGGAGTCCCCCTCCAAGAGTAGTACCCCGACAAATGCAGTTTCAGCCCCACACCAAACTTTCTGAATCAGAATCAACATTTTAACAAGATTCCCGGGATTCAAATGCATATTAACGTTTGCGGAGCAGTGATGTAAAAATACTGCTGGCAAGGACCCGGCGTTTCCCACATAACAATGCAAAAAATGCCTTGTGTGTCTCCGTTCGGGACCCTCATTATGGGATCAATTCCAGTGTGTGAGCTTCCTGTTTTGTAAATTACCTTCTGGTCTCGTCCCTCACCGCCCCTCCACCCTTCCAAAAAAAACCCTGCTCTTTGCAGAGAAACTGACACAGTCGTTCCGTAAACGTGTGTTAAATGAGCAAGTAACAAAGGTTGGGGACTTCTTATTGGAGCTCATTCTTTTATTCATATCCCAAGTTCCGATGAGAAGCCTGCAAACGTTTAACTCGTTATTCACTACACAACAAGAAACTTACAGGAGAAATATTCCCTTTGCTTGGCAGCAATTTTAATGGTATGTAGTCCCGTCATCTATTTTCCCGTGAGCTCTGTTTCAGGCAGAGTAAATTAGTTGTTAAAATCCTCAAAACGTCATTTTTATTACCGAGCACCACTCTGAGGTAAATTGATGCTCAGCTTTTTCTCTTATCCTTACATCTGGTGTGGCAGCTTTAAATTTGACATTAGATCTGGGTTGTATCCTAGCTTTCTCACAAGGGTAGAATCATTTAATCTTGACTCAATTGTAAGGAGCCCTGATGGCAGAGTGATTAAAGTGCTCAGCTGCTAACCTAAAGGTCAGCGGTTTGAACCAACCGGCCGCTCTTTGGCAGAAAGATGTAGCAGCCTGCTCCCCTAAAGATTTGCAGGAAATCCGGTGGGGCAGTTCTCCTGTGTCCTGTAGGGTTACTATGAGTCAGAATCGACTCCACGGTAGTGGATTTGGTTTCTTCAATTGTAAAATGGGTACAATATTTATTACTACATCAAACTATTTAAAATGATGAGTTCAAACAAATATCTCCAATTCCGATCCACCTTGTAGGGTTGTTGGAAGCCTCAGTAAGATCATGTATGTATAAGACTTAGTTAAATTTAAAGCATCATGGAAATGTAGATGACTTTATATTTCAGATCACTTTAGCGCTTTCTTAAAAAGCTAGAAATAGAAGTACGATACCATCCAGCTCTTCCGCTCCTTGGAATATATCCTAGAGAAA